ATTACGACGGAGTATGAGGGCCACATTTAAAAAAAAAAAAAAATTGGGGAATTAATTACGAGAATAAAGTCCAAAAGATTAAGTATCTCCTTGTTTGTGAAACATATACTAATGTACAATCATGTCCCATCATGTCTCTTCATGTCTCATGTCTCATGTCCCATCATGTCTCATGTCCCATCATGTCTCATCACGTCTCATCATATCTCTTCATGTCCCTTCATGTCTCTTCATGTCTCGTCATGTCTCATCTCGGGACATCGATGCATCGAAGAAGAAGCGTCGTAGTTTCCGCTAATGCAGGTGCTAGCTGCTCAGGCTAGCAGCTAGCACCTCCGCTAAACGAGCTCTACGCCAACGGTACACAGGATGAAGACCTGGTCCTCCGGTCCTACCGGTCCTCCCGGTCCTCCCGGTCCTCCCGGTCCTCCTGGTACTCCCGGTCCTAACGTCGCTCACGTCACGTCAAGAGAACATCGTAAAAAGCTGCGAGTTTACTCTCACTCTCTTTTTACACCGCTGAGAGCCGCTGTTCCTGCAGCTTCACCTGAGTCCCCTCCTCCACCTGCACCCAAACCACGTTTTGGTTTTTTGGATGCACGCTGGCATTCGTTCATCAACATCAGGTCTACCGCATGCTTGCTGCTACATATAGATATTATTATTCTAGTTTTGGGTGTTTTGCATGTGTTCCCTGTTTTATCTTAGCATGCCGCTTGGCTAATTCAGGGAATGGAGCCTTCTGCACCAAGAACATCTGTGTCCCATGTGTGCAATAAATGGTTGAATCATGATGGTGCTCCTCTAACCCTAACCCTCAAACCATTACAAATGAAAAGAAAACCAAACGTAGAGAACTAGAATACAGGAAATAGTTTTGTACTTGGTTAATCTGTAAAATAAGAGTTTTCATACCAGGAGACATAAACTCCATGAAACTGAAGACTAATGTCGTGGAAACAAATTCAAATGTTTTTTAAAACCGCTCGCTCTCACCTGACCAGGTTCTCCTTGTAGGACACGTTGGTCTTGCAGGGCGTCAGCGACACGTTTCCGTCATCGTCCCAGGAGAAGCTGTCCTCTGTGACGGTGTAGTACCCGTTGGTGAGGAGGCGCGGGGAGCGGCGGCAGCAGCAGGGGTCACCGCCGTCCACCGAGGAGTAACAGACGTACGAGGAGTCGGGAGAGAGGAGAGACAGGTCGAGGCTGAGGGAGACGCAGACATGAGCAGGTTAGCGTCAGGGACACCATGTGATACAGGATCTTTTGCTCTGTTGTTGTGGAGATGACTCCTGGTTTTATCATTTGAGTAACGCTGCGTGAAGACACCACAATAATCATTAATAATCATTAATAATCATTAATAATCATTAATAATCATTAGTCATAAAATGTTTGATTGTTGTTGATGTGAAAACATGCTCACCTCTGACAGGAGTGATTCGCCCGCAACCTCCGTTTAATCGGTGAACCTGAACAACAGAGAACACACTGTTACACACACACACACACACACACACACACACACACACACACACACACACACACACACACAGAACAAACACGGTGCAGGAATGTGACTGACAGGAAGTCTGTTGTTCTATGGCTTTTCAAAACAAAAGTCATGTATGAAGGAGGCAGAGGTTTGCTGTCTGAGATGACAGAATTACCGGCACTGATTTTTACCTCAGATGTTTTCATCTGCGTGTCTTTGTTTGTTTGATTATCGGCAGGATTGAACAGGAACTGTCGCACTAAGTTGAAATTGGTGGACGGGTGTTTCATGGGTCAGAGACGAAGTCATTAAACGTGTTGTGGATCCAGATCAAAGGGCAGAACCAGGGATTTCTTTCTTCACTTTCTTTATCTTTGTTTATTTCTTGAGCTCCGCAGGAAGTCCGCAGAATTGTGTCTGGACTTTCTCTAGATTTTGTCTTTCACACGCTCTGACTTGTTCACCACACAGAAACCTCCGGAGCGTTCAGGTGAGGGGTGGAGCAGCCGGCGGAGGCAGGAAGTTACGTTTTTATTCTGCTGCAGAGATCCCGTGTGTTTATTTACAGAACTAAGTTTTTAAGTTTCTAACTTTCACCACAGACACCAGACAGGATGTTGATTTTTATAGTAATAAATCTGAGAAATCTGATTCAGTGTCTGACTTGTTATTTTACCAGTAACTGTTCTGAGCACCATAGAAAAGCTCCTGTTAACAAGGAGGTTTGTGCAGATGTGTTGTGTGTTATCAGAGTGTCGTCGCTGACGTACTCGTCACGGCTCCAGAGAAGAACAGGGCCATGTTTGTCTGCAGCAGCGTCTCTGCTGTTGACCTGTGAAAGACATTAGAAACCCAGGAGGCGGAGTGAGGAACATTCAGCCCACAGAAAAAAGAAAAGAACAACACAGCTCACCCTCGTTCTCCCATTTCCTGTTCAGACTTTTTCATTAGATGCAGTTGAAGCCCAGAACAAACCAAGTCGAGGTATTTTTAAAAGATGGCGAGAAATCATTTTCCCAGCAGGAAATCTGTCCAGAGACAAACTTCCAGAAAAGTCCTGGCTGTAGATTAGTTTCTTCAATGTGCTTTTAAGGCTCAAGTGTTTCAGAGGTTAACACAAGACTCAGTTTAAAGACTAAAACAAAGATGTGTACTGAGATATTTAAACAATAAAATATGGAAATGCATCAATAAATCTCAAATCTCACTGAATCACTATCATTATTATTATAAACAATGGTAACTATAAGTTCATGAAACAATATGTAACACTTGACTTTTCTTTGTTACCACAACCTTAAACACTCGGTTTATTTGTCTTCACATTAATTATCACTCTTTTCATTTGTTGTCCTGTTATTTGATCTTTATGTATTTATTCACTCATGTGTTTACAGATGTAGTTAACAAATGTATTGAATCTTTCATTTCAGGTCGTTCATCGGCATAAGATGTTCGTGTTCGTGTCCGAGATATTTTGGCCTAATAGTGCCGGGAAGAGGAGACGTCCATCTTTATTTACAGTCCAGACGTCTCTGCTCCGAGGCCAGGGGTTCTATTAAAGACGCCAATCTTTAAAAACACTTCACAAAAGTAATCTTCTGATAAAGGTTGAGTTGTTTCCTGACATGGATTTATCCACATTTGTTTTTCTGGTGAGTTTGTTTGAGTCAAGAGGAATAAAATCTATCGGGCGGGACAGAAAAAGTTGAGTCTGCTTTTTGTTAAAGGCACAAAAATCCACATGAAACCATTTTTTTCTTCTTCAAGTGACTTGATCTGTTTTAAAATCCACAATCCGTCCTGATCTGCTCGTCAGTAACTTGTTACAGTCAGTGGAGTTAATCCAGAGCTGATCCCTCCAGTCTGAGCACTGAGGGATGAGGTGAATTAACGTTCAACAGGCCAATTAAAAATCTAATCCTGGCTGATCAGACTGCAGAAGAAGTGCAGGTTATTCATTAGGAAGGTTTTTTTAAGCCTCACCTTTAAACCTGTTGCTGCTCGGATGAGACGTCACTGCGGCCTCGAGTTTTCAGCTGAGAGTTTTCTTGTTGTGGTTCTCTCACATCCTGGAGCAGCAGAGAAAAGCTGCAGGAGAAAGAAAAACAGAGGGGCTGTGACTCTGAGCTCATGTTTCCTGTTAACTCTGCGTCTGCTGGACACAGCTGCAGCTCCGACCGTCACAGGGACGACTCTTCAGGCTCTGTGTCCCGTCGCTGCAGATGCTTTTATCTTTATTCTTAGACCGAGGCGAGAAATCAGAAAACATGTTTCCATTCTCTGCAGTGTGATCAAACATCAGCTCATCAGACCAACTGAGTCTGTTCTCTCTACTCATCGTCTCATTAGGAGCCTGACTGAGATAAAACAAGCTCATTTATACGACACCGTTCACAGACACTGTGCTTCACCATCCAACAGTCCAATCGAAACACACACAGCATTTTCATGCCTCCACACTGGCGACACCTAGTGGCCAGAGGCATTTTGTTTTGATATCTCATGAACACCCTTTTGCCTAAATTTGGCACAAATGTTCACGTGAACTCACAGATGACCTGATTCAAATTCAGTGGTCAAAGGTCACTGTGACCTCATACGAGTCTGGAAAAAGAAAGTCTGATGACTGAGGCTGCTCTGGTTGGTGGAGGTGAACATGTGTCATAAAGTGCTTTCAGACCTGCACTGAACTCCAGAGCATCTCCAGACGTTCTCCAGAGGGGCTGCAGGTGAGAGGGCAAATGTCAGAGTGACAGCCTCTGGACTTTCTCCAGCCAGTAAAAGTAAAACCTCTGGAGAATGTCCGAATGAGCTGCTTTGACAACACAACAGGAGACTCTGCGAGGAATCACAGCGAGCGAGCGTGTTGACGACGTTTCCACGACACAAGGGATTCAAAACTGAAAAAACTAACAGGAAACAAGGATGAAAAAGTGGAGCCACACGCGTAGAAAACAGAGATCCGACAGTTGTCAATTCAAATGAAAACACATGGTCTCCGCAGCAATACGTTACTTCCTGCCTCCGTCTGCTGCTCCGCCCTCATGGGAACTCTCCGGAGGTTTCTGTGTTTTCAATCTCCTGCTGCGTTGTTCACGCATGAAAGAGAAACTGTCTGAAAACGATTTATGTTATTTGTATTTTTTAATCATCGGCTGAATCCGAGACATTTACCTGTTGGACTTCAGTGCACATGTTAATTAACGTGCATTGTCAAACATAAACAGATGGTTTCTAAGAGTCTACTGAGTCTAAATACTTCAAGATTATTACAAAAAAATAAACCTGGACGTCTTCAGCATATAGATGATGGGATCACTTTGGCAACTTAAAGCTCAGTATGTGTCGGGGCGCGGTTAGCCTAGCTTGGCACAAAGTGTGGGAGCAGCCTGGTAGCTCTGAACATGAGGACGAACTCTTTCAAGCCGACTTCGTCTGTTGAGAATCAAATGAATTCTTGTTTTCTGCTCATCAGAGATGCTCTGACGAGAAGAGGCACCACTCTGTCGCTCGGTTGAATAAAAGCTTCACAACAAAGTGATGAACTGGGTCAGTGACTGTTGGAGGGAAACAAACAACAGACTGTCTGTCAGAGGACGAGGGGAGGGGCTCCTCCTCCTCCTCCGCTGGTTCCACTGGGAAAAGATTGAAAACGCAACACATCACTGCAGCTGAACGCTCGACAACATGAGCCCACACAGGGGGACGCTTGGTCTTCGTTACAGGGGACAAAGAAACTTCAAGCGAGCAGCAGGAACAGGATGTGGACATCTTCAATACACATCTGTGTCATTCAATCAAACACAATGACAAATCAAACATAATA